CTGTCTGGCATGTCTGAATGTGTTTGGGGGACATTGAGTTAGATCCTTGAAGCTCTGTGATGCTAACCAAGACAGCTACCCAGGACTGACAGGTGGGCAGTGGACACAGAGTGGATGTGCTGGACAAAGGGAGGATTCACAACCTGGGCAAGGTGGCGCAGGATGGCTCAAGGCTTCATCATGCTGCACAGGATGATGTTCAGTTTAAAACTCATAAATAGTTTGTTTCTTAAATTTTGGACGAAGTAACCCAAACTGTGGAGTGTAAAACAATAGGGAAGGGTACTGTACAGCTTCCAACTCAAGGACTAAGGTGACTGCTCCAGCCCTGCCATCACGTCTGCCTTCCAGCCAGGAGCAAGGAGGGAAGGGGGAGGTGTCATTTCCTTTTAAGTGCCCACATGCCATGGATCAGAATCTAGACGCATGGCCACACCTGGCTGCAGAGGAGGCAGGGAACTTCGTCTTTATCTGGGTGTTCATGTGTCTGCTGTAAAGAGCAAGAAGGGGAGCCGGGGCCCAGGGAACAGTGAGTCGGGTTCCCTGAGGGGAAGTCCCTGATTCGGGAGCTGCTCTTCCTACATCCTTCCTACATCCCCTTTATCTCTCAAGTCCAAGTTCCAGCCAGAAAAAAGAAAATCCTATAAACACACATCTGCTCAGGACCCTCCATTGCTCAAACTCTCCTGTGGCTCCCCAGTACAAAGCCACGCTCTGGGCTACGCTTCCATACCCCGCCCCTGTGACCTCTGCCTCCTCCCGCATCTCCCAGGCTTTGTGCAGGGCTGTTCCCACCGCCTGGAGCTCCCAGAGACTGACACCCCTCTCTGCAGGAGCGCCTGGCCTCCTAGAGAGGGCCCCAGTCCCCTGTGCACCCCCGCTGGCAGGCCAGGTCACTCCTCTCCTGCTGTCTCGTCCCTCTCCCTCTCCTCCTGCCCTCCTCCTTTCCTCCCAGCTACTGAGCGCAGCGCAGTGTGTGGCCCTGGTGGCTGTACTGACAAAAATCCAGACAGAACATCGGGTGGCCCCTGCTGCACCATGTTCCAGGCCTTTCCGACACTGTGGCTTTAGACGTGGACCTGGTCCCCTTCCCGGGAATCTGCGACCTGCACAGGGCTTGGCGCGGCAGCCCACTGCTGCTGCGTCTGCTGACAGTGAGGGCTGACCACAGGCTGGGGCAGCACCTGGGCTGGAGACACAGACGGCTGGAGTCAGGAGCACGGGCGTCCAGGGCCCCTGACCTCATTCCCAGTGACCGTCCAGCACGGCTGCTCCGGGGCACGTAGGCGTCTTTCTCACACCCCAGCAAAGGGCTCTCGAGGTGTGGCTGGGAGGACACACGGCTTTACTTCATGGTCACCTGTTGGCCCGCATGCTCTCAAGGGGAGAGGACACCATGGGGAGGCTCTGGGTCACATCATAAACCATGCGGTTGGGACATACACGTTGTCATCACCCTCAGAAACCCAACAAGATGGGCTGGAGTGTGGCTCATGGGTAGAGCACTCGTATGGCACACATGAGGCACTGGGTTCAATCCTCAGCACCACATAAAAATGAAATAAAGATACTGTGTCCACCTACAACCAAAATAAATGATAAAAAACAAACACACAAACCCAACCAGAGCCTGTGTATCCTGTCATCCCAGCCACTCAGGAGGCCAAGGCAGGAGGACCACAAGTTCAAGGCCGGCCTCAGCAACTTAGTGAGACCCTGACTTAAAAGTAGAAATTAAGAACAACAAAAAAAGAGCTGAGAAGTAGCAGAGTCAAAACACCCCAGGTTCAATCCCTACTGCCCAACCAAACAAAATAACAAACAAACCCCAATCTGGCACAGAGCCGGCATGGAGCTGTGCCCCTGAGATGTTCCAGGAGTGTCCAAGAGCCCCGCGTGCTTCTTAACAACCCCGGTGCCGTCCCCACGGGGACGGGGAGACCGAGGCACCGAGGAGAGCAGCTAGCTCAAGCGCAGCGGGAGGCTGCAGAGCCGGACTCCCCTGGTCTGTAGCTCCGGGGTGTGCACAGTTCAGCCCCTCTTAGGGCCCAAGGTGTGGACACTCCCTCATTTTAGGAGCTGCTTTGGGGCAGCTGGGTGCAGAGTCTACGATGGAAGAGCAAAGACAGTGGCAGAGCCCTCTCAGCACCCAGGACAGCACCCAGCGCTTCTCCGGAGCTTGTCAATGACAAGAATAGTCCAGGATGCACCCTGCCTGGAGTCTGAGGAGACATTCCCGCTGCTTGGGAGTGTCTGGGAGTCAGGTGGGAGGTCCTCAGGGAACTTCCACGCCTCGCCCTCCTTCTAACACCCACGGTGACAGCCAGAAATGTTCCCGCACTTGTTCTGGGTTAGGTCCTGGTCATGACTCACTTCATGTCATCTAACAAATTGTATGCACTTGTTTTTATAAATAAAGTTTTATTGGAACACAGCCAAGCTCATTTTTTACATATGTGGATGCTTCCAGGGACAGTGGTAGAGTGACAAGTTTGGCAAAGCTGAATATCACCTTTTCAGAAGACATTTGCCCATCCCTGCGCTAGAGGTAGGTGACACCGGATCCCAGTTTGCAGAAGAGGAGGGGCAGGCCCCAGGAGGGCACAGCTCTGCTCAGGTCCAGGGAAGAAGCATGTGGACTGGTGTCCATTCCATTTCATTTCGACGTGTTTCTTTTCCTTTCCTTTTCTTCTTCTTTCTTTCCTTCCTTCATTCTTTCTTTCCTCCTCCTCCTCTTCCTCCTCCTGCTCTTCCTCCTCCTCCTAGGTACGAAGAATGGAACTCAGGGGAGCTCTATCACTGAGCTACATCCCCAGTTTTTATTTGTTTTTGTATTTTGAGACAGAGTCTCACTACATTACTGAAGCTGGCCTTGAACTTGTGATCCTCCTGCCTCAGCCTCCCACATCATGGGGATTACAGGAGTGGCCACTGAGCCTGGTCATATTTGTCTTTTAGTGACTGGCTTATCTCACTCAACACATCTCCAAGATGAACCATGTTATAGCACGTGTCAGAATGTCCTTATCGGGCTGGGAATATTCCATCACATGTATAGACCATATTTGTTTATCAGGGGACACCTGGGCTCCTGCATCGCGCCCTTCACTGCCTGTCATGGGCTGGTTTCACCTACACCTCAAGAAACTGTCATTCAAGAACAATGGAAAGATGTAGATGATCAGATAAAACCACCCACCACTCTGCCTGGCAGAGAGCCGCACAGAACACTGTGGAGGCTTTTCTTTTTTGCACCAACAATATACAGTGCTCCTGTAACTTAGCCTCCTGCAGCTTGCTCAGAGCCTGCCCTGGGGGTAAATGAAGGAACTCAGGGCACAGCCCAATGAGCTTGCGGGTAGTCCATCCAGAAATACATATAGATGAGTGCCATTTTGCTTTTAGTGTCAGGCGGTCTATGAGGACAGTACCCTGTCTATCTTGCTGCTGAATGCTGTGCCTAGCTTAGTGACTGCACTCGGTAGGCGCTGAACGATTGTTGGAAGTAGTGACTGAGTGCTGGTCCATTGCTGATTTTATTTGATTCTAGCTTCTTGCAATGAGGCAGAGGCAAGGCTGTGAGGTAGCTCTGTTTCTTTCTGAATGACTGACCACACCTTAGCATAAATCCCTACAGGGACTGGCTGGGTCAGACTTGTGTTGGATGGGCTTGGCTCAGAAGGCTGGTCAGCCTGAGGGGAAGCTGTAATTGACACTCCCACCCACAGGGAGTGCTCTGCACCTGCCTACACTGGGTATTACCCTTTGTTTTTGTTTTTGTATTGGGGATTGAACCCAGAGGTGCTCTACCACTGAGCCATATCCGCTGTCCTTTTTGTTTTTTATTTAGAATAGGGTCTTGCTAAGTTGCTTAGGGTCTTGCTAAATTGCTGAGGCTGGCTTTGAACTCCCGATCCTCTTGCCTCAGCCTCCTGAGCCTCTGGGCTCACATGCATGTGCCAACACCTCCAGCTTTTTGTCTTTAATTTAATATATTTATTTATTAGTATTGGGGATTGAACCCAGGGGACCTTAACCTCTGAGTCAAATCCCAGGCATTTTTGTTTTTTATTTTGAGGGTCTTGCTAAGTTGCTTAGGATCTTGCTAAGTTGCCACTCTGCCCAGCTATCTTTTATTTTGAAAGTTGATGTTTCTCATGGTGCATTATACTCATACATAAAAATGGAATTCACTGTGACATGTTCCTTATTCCCAGATATAGTTTGGTTAATTCCATTAAGTTGTTCCCTTTTCCATCCCTCCTCCCTCTTCCTTTTTCCCTGCCCTCTACTCCATTGCTCTTTAATTTTTTTTTCAGGTCCCACTTCTCCTTTTAGAATTTATTCTTTCTGTCTGGCTTCCCCAGGTAAGGGTACTCCTGCAACCGTTGACTTCCTGGGTCTGGCTTATTCCACTAGCATGATGTTCTCCAGATCTAGCCATTTACCAGCAGAGATATAATTTCCTTCTGCTGTATGGCTGAGTGAGACTCCACTGTGAGCGCACACATTTTTATCTATCTGTTTTGAGCACGATCTAATTTCATTCATTCATCCTAATTAGGTAAAACATACTCATTTTATTTTTTAAAGACATTTTTAATTCTTTAATTTTTAAATATTTTTTAGATGTCGATGGAGCTTTATTTTATTTATTTAACACTCTAATTTTAGACGAGGAAACGGACCGATACCCACAGGCAGTCACAGTCTGGCAACTCTAGGGGCGCCTTTTTGTGGGTTGAGCGTGACGTCATTGGATCCGGCGTCTAGCCCCGCCCTCAGCCCCGCCCCCGCTCCTGAACCACCATTCCCAGCGGTCGGAGCGCTGGGGGCCCGTCCTCATAGGTCGCGCCCCTGGAGGCCACGCCCCGGCCCGCGCCACGCCCCTTCTGCCCAGTTCCGGGGCCCGCGGCCGGCGGGGCTGCACGGCCGCACGTGGGTAGCCGCGCTGCGCGCTGGTTCTCGGGCCGCCTCGGCGGAGCCCGCTCCTCGCCGGGATGAGCCGCTACCTGCTGCCGGCGTCGGTGCTGGGCACCGCGGTGGGTGGCGCCGTGCTGCTCAAGTGAGTATGTGCCGCTCGCGTGCGCGCGTCGCAGACCCGCGGGCCGCTGGAGGCCAGGGAAGGCCGGGAAGGGGCCCCGACCTCTCGGCCCCGGAGTCCCCGCTCCCCCTGGGCAGTGCCTTCCAGAAAGTGAACCGTAAACCAGGGCCGCGAGCGCCGGTCGTCGGCCCAAGGTCACGCAGAGCAAGGGCGGGCCGGGTCCTGGTGCGCTTTGGCTCTTTCCTTCCGTATTTGTGATTGATGAGTTCATCATTTACCCTGTCACCCGCTGGCCTAGACCAAAGAATTAAAGAAACAAACAGAATTGTTCAGCTCATAAACGGAAAGATCTGTTAAAAGGAAGTGGACGTAGAAGTTTATTGCCTTTGTCTCTCCCTTCCTCCCTCTTACTTTCTCCTTTTCCTGCGAGATTCGGGACGATACTGACTGCAGAGTAGTGACTACCGTTTATTCCACACCACGGGGACAGCGTTTACTCCTTGTTAACTCTGGGGAGTGGGAAGCTTCCGGTTCCGGCGTCTGACTCAGGAACCCCAGTCTTCCCAACACCTTGTGCTTGGAACCCTGTTTTGGTGTTCATACCTGTTTTTTCAGAGTGTCATTTGGAAGCTGTAGGGTTACATCCTCAGGCTACATTGTCACCCATCCCTGTTTACTGACTGCTTGCTGTCTGCAGGTAGAAATACCTGCAGAAAAATGTGGAAGAGTGGCACTCCTGGATACATACCAGCACTTTAGGATAGATGTCTAGAAGAGGGTGGGAGGGAATGCACACATTTATGGATTTGACACCTAAGACTAAGTCACCATCCTGGAAGGTTTAGCAGACACTCCTGTGAGTAGTTGAGTAAACTCTGGGTATTACTGTTAAATAATAATAATAAATTGTGCTGGGCATGATGGCACAAGCCTGTAATCACAGCTGTTAAGGGGCTGAGGCAGGAGGATTTCAAGTTCCAGGGCAGCCTGGGCAATTCAGCAAGACACACACACACACACACACACACACACACACAAACCCCCCCCCCCCCCCCCAAAAAAAAAAAGCAACTCAATGAAATCAAAGGGAAAAGAGTGGTATTTCCTATTAATTGTGTTTCTTTAGTTCCTGTAAAGATAGCCCCTATTCGTAAGCTCAGCTATTTTCCAGGCTTCCTCCATGTTCACCCTGCCCAGGGTGCAGGTGTCCAGAGGGACAGAGGTTAACTATGCAGGGCTTTGTGCTTGACAGGGGCTGCAGCTTTCGCAGAGTTCTGAACAGATGAATGACACGATCTGAACTGTGCTCTGGTGAGGTCTGTCTGGCCAGGATGTGCAGGACAGGGTGGAGGGTGAGTGGCAAGGGTGCTCCGAAGGTGGCTGGGTGAGGCTGACCGTGGGGAGGTGGGGAGGTGGCGACGCTGGACTTGCTGGAGGTGGGCTGGTGTTGACAGTGTCATGAAGGGTAACAGATGAGGTCCCTAGTGGAGTTGCATTCGTAAGGCGGGGAGTTGCTGTTTAAAGGGGGCAGAGTTTCAGTTTCACAGATGAAAATTGTTCCGGAGATGGGTGGCATCATTTTATGATCATATTTGGTGCCACAGAACTATCCCCTAGAGAAGTGGTCATGATGGCAAATTGTGGGTGTGCTATGTACTTTACACAGAACCAAAGCCAGGAAAATAAGAGTGAAGGTGAGAAGAAACAAGGGAAGGAACAGACAGCCTACTGCAGTGCCGGTCGGGTTAACTGGGGCTGGCGGGAGGGAGACTTCAGAAATTCAAAAATTTGAACCACATAACTATATTTCTTACCCAAAAGCAACAAGTAGATCTGTTGTACCGCATGGTGGGTGTGGTAATAACAATGTATGTATTTTTAAACATCACTGAGAATAGATTTTATGTTTACTCACCACAAAAAATAAGTACATGAGGTGATATATATGGCCACAGGCTTAATTTAGCCATTCTGTAGTGTGCATGTGTTTCAAAATATGCTCAACATGATAAATACATATAGGCTTTATTTGTCAAATAAAGTATATCCACATACAAACAAGAATTTAGTGTGTGTGTGTGTATTTATTTTTTTGGACCAGGGGTTAAACCCAGGGGCACTTAACCACTGAGCCATATCCCAGCCCTTTTTGCATTTTATTTAGCGATAGGTTCTTGCTAAGTTGTTGAGGCTGGCTTTGCACTTGTGATCCTCCTGCTTCAGCCTCCCAAGCAAGAATTTACTATATTAAAAAGATAAATAAGGGCTGGGTTGTGGCTCAGTGGTAGAGCACTTGCCTGCATGTGTGAGGCCCTGGGTTCGATCCTCAGCACCACATAAAATAAATGAAACAACAGATTCATTGACAACTAAAATAAAGAGAAAAAGATAAATAAAACTTCAGGTTGGTAGTGTGGACCTGGTGTGGCATGGTCAGGTAATCATGATGGGCTGTGGTTGGTTGGCCTGCGGTGGCCCTGGTAGCACATGGGCTGGTTTGAGATCATCGACCCTGTCACCAGACTGACCTGGCTTTGAGTCCTGACCCTTTCTGACTGTGAGGGCTTTGCCTTTCCCACCTCCTGGGGTTGCCAGAGGTACCTGATCAGAGAATCTGTGTGCCCGGCTCTGAGTCCCCCTCCATCTCAGGACGAGTCCCCGGGTGGGGGCAGTGTTTCCCTGAGCACGCTCCGTGGGCCGGGCCCTTTGGAAAGCGTGTGCTGTGGCTTCACTCGGGTCTCCACAAAGCCCGGTTGAGGTGTCTGTTTCTGTGGTGTCCTCGAGGCGCAGTGCTGGGTCTACAGGCTGTGACTCCTGGCCACACCTGGCCACTGCCCCTCCTGGTGAGTAGGTCTGATTAGAACCAGCGGCAGCGTGTCTTTACACATTGCCTGTGGCTGCCCTGTGTGCTGGCGGGGGAGGGAGAGCTTGGGCCAGGGACTTAATTAACTTACACAGAACTCAGCCTCAGGTGGCTGGTAGCAAACTGTACGGTGGCCTTCCCAGTGTGGACGAGGGTTGTCTGGCCAGCCCCCTCCTGCGGATGGTGGCTTGCTCCTGTGCACTGTGGGGGTGGCAGGCGGAACAAGACTCCTTCGAGATGGCCAGACCTGCCAAAGGGGACTGTGCAGGTGGGTCTAGTGAAGAGCCTTGAGATTGGAGGTCATCCTGGGTTGCGTGGGAGACGGTGTCACCTCCCCTAGACAGCAGCCCAGCGAGACTTCTGACCTGCAGAACCGTAGGACAGCACTCTGTGGGGTTTTCAGCCCCTAGGTGTGTGGGCACTTGTTAGGGTAGGCACAGGACACTCGGGCAGTGCGTGTGCATAACATAACAGCTCGCCTTGTGGAGGCCTCTCGGGCCCAGGCTCCAGGTGGACCCCTTGCTGGGACACCGCAGCGTGAGTGTAGTTTTTGTCTTTCGGTTGGCGTGAGCTCAGGGTGGACTTTCTGGTACCACAGTCAGGGGCACATGGGGTCGGAGTGGACAGCCAGAACTGACCAGGCTGTTTCTTTTCCTTGCCTTCAGGGACTATGTTGCTGGTGGGACTTGTCCCAGCAAGGCCGCCATACCCGGGAAGACAGTCATCGTCACGGGAGCCAACACAGGCATCGGGAAACAAACTGCCTTGGAACTGGCCAGAAGAGGTAGAGGCCTGCCTGCTTTCCTGTTTCACAGAGATTCTCGCAACCAGTGTTCACGGCAGCCCGAAGGCAGCTGTGTCCACCCACAGCTGACCATCAATAAGATGTGGTCCAGCCATACAGTGGGCTGTGATCCAGCCTCAAAAGGAAGGAGATTGTGCTGGGTGTGGTGGTGCATGCTTGGTCATCCCAGTGGGAGGCTGAGGCAGGAGGATCACAAGTTCTAGGCCAGCCTCAGTGACTTAGCAGGCATGTTGGGGGCAGGCTGAGCAGTGGCTTGGTGCATTCTTTTTTTTTTTTTTTTTTGGTACTAAGGATTGAACCCAGAGGAGCTTAACCACTGAGCCATATCCCCAGCCCTTTCTATTTTTTATTTTGAGTTATGGTCTTTACTAAGTTGCTTAGGGTCTCGCTAAGTGGCTGTGGCTGGTCTTGAACTTTTGATCTTCTTGCCTCAGCCTCCTGAGACCCTGGGATCACAGGAGTGTGCCTTTTTGATAGGCAAGCCAGGTGCATTCTCAGCTTCTCCCATTTTCAACCTGCAGTGGGTGTGGGGTGGAGACCCGGGGCGAGTAAGGGCCACCTGCATGTCACACCACAGTCCACCCCTTCAACGTACAGTGCAGTGATGTGGAGGACATTCAGAGTCGTCACTACCTGTCTTAAGACACTGTTGTCACTCTGTAGTTTAGATACCTTGGTCGCTTCACCCATCCTGGCTGATGCCCAAGCCACCAGCCCTAGGAAGCCGAAGTCCTCCTTTGGTCTGTGGCCTCGCCTGTTCCGGGGGCTCTGGTCAGCAGCAGTGACCGATGTGGTGACTCCAGGGTCCCCTGCTCTCGAGGCAGTGCGTCCTCCTCTTTTTGGGCTGAGTAACACCCGCCACAGGCTGGACCACAGTTTGCTCATCCATTGGCCTGTGGCGGACACCCAGGTCCACTTCTGGCCATCGGGAACATGCTGCTGTGAATAGTGGGGGGAGGTGGACGTCGCCTCCTGTTTCTGGGACCCTGGGGGTGCTCTGTTTGCTCTGTTATCTCGTGTCCCCCCGGGCTTCAGGAGGCAACGTCATCCTGGCCTGCCGAGACATGGAGAAGTGCGAGGCCGCGGCCAGGGACATCCGTGGGGAGACCCTCAATCACCGCGTCAGCGCCCGGCACCTGGACCTGGCTTCCCTCAAGTCCGTCCGGGAGTTTGCTGCGAAGGTCATTGAAGGTAGGCGGGGGACGCTGGCCTCGCGGGCCAAGGTCTGGGTGGCCACTCGGGCCCAGCTCTGAGGAGCCGGAGCCGGGCAAGTCCTGGAGCAGGTTGCCCACACGGCCGCCGGCAAAGGCAGCCCCCTGGCCGCCGGCAAAGGCACCTCCTGCGGCGGCCCAGCCCGCGGTGGGTGTTGAAGTCGTAGTTTACACTCTCATATTTACATATTGTTCATTTCAAAAGATTGGGGAAAAACACGTGAAGAGTGATAGCTTCTGACATGAGAACTGTTTGGAACCCGGCACGGGCCGTGCACACGGCTTGTGCTCCGTGTGCTCCATGTGCTCCGTGTGCTCCGCGGTGCTGGGGCGAAGCTGCCCCCTTCCCTCCCCTCGGCTCTGCGGGAACGGCCTGGCCAGGAGGAGTGAAGGTCCGCATTATGGTCGGGTTGTTTTCCTTGATGGTGTAAGAAATGCGCTCACCATAGAGTCTGTCAGATACCGAGGAGTAGGAAGAAGACCGAGGACACAGCTACTCCACAGCCACAGCAGCCTGATAGGGGACAGTTTCCTTCCATGTGGCGTTTTCTGTTTTTGAACTGGGGATGGAACCCAGGGGCACCTGACCACTGAGCCACACCCCAGCCTTTTTCATATTTTATTTTGAGACAGGGTCTCGCAAAGTTACCTAGGACCCAGCTAAGTGCTGAGGCTGGCTTTGAACTTGCGGTCCTCCTGCCTCGGCTTCCTGAGCTGCTGAGATTGCAGTGTGCGTCCAAACTTGTCTTGAAGCGGGTGTGCGCTGTGTTTGGTTAAACGGAGCTCGTTAACAGGAGCCTCCTCACACTTCGCCTTTTTGTGGTGGTGGGGTGGGGAGAGCATTTCAGACCTACTCTCTCTCTGGTTCTGGGGATGGAACCAGGGCCTCCCGTGTGGGCAAGCCTTCCCCCCTGAGTCCCATCCTCAGCCTTAAAATCTGCTCTTAGCCGTGTTCAGGAGCCGGGCACCCTGTAGTGACCGCGGCCTGGTGAGCCCAGCGGGCCTTGTCTGCAGGAGTGCTGGGGCCTTGGGCCGGGACTTGGCAGGTCCTGCTGTTGGTCCTTCAGCTTGTCGCCCATTTTCCTCTGAACATAAGGCCGTGGGGGCTGTACCTGTCCTCCCCCTGGGAGCTGCACTGAACCTACTTGTCTCCTCTCTGGACTGGCTCTGGATGGGCTTGGCGGACGCCGGCCCTCCCCAGCCAACAGGAAGCCGCCCCTTAGTGGATGAGCAGAGAGGACGGAGTCTCATTCACTCCACGGACGTTTTCTGGGCCCAGGTTGGGTCCTGGTTGGCAGGGAGATGAGTCAGAGCGTGCCAGGAGCTCACAGAGCAGTGGGGAGGCGGGCAGTGTCGCTGCCCCGAGGGGGTGAGGTGACACGGGGTAGTGCGGGCGCAGTGGGAATGGACGTTTATTAAACACCTTCTTTGCACCCTTCATGCACGTGGCCCCAGCGGATTCCTCCAGGAAGCTCCTCTTCCCACTTCCAGCTGTGGACACTGGTTCCCAGCGCAGGCCTGGGGGCCGCAGGGCCCGGGCTGGCCACGCCCAGGACTGAGCTTCCCCTGAGCCTCTCGTCCCTCTTTTGGGAGCTGATTAATACGTCCTTTGTTCTGTGGGATCTTTTGAGGACCTTGACGTTGTGTCTGTGACCTTGGGAGGTCAAGCGTCAGCCTCTTAGCGTCCCCTCAGATCACCTGTCGAGGATAAGAGGCTTAGAACGGAGCGGGTGGCACGTCTGTGTGTCTTAGGGCAGCAAGAACGAGGCACAGCGAGGCACTCCCATTTCAGGGGGAGGCTGGAGGACGCCTGCGCGGGCAGGCGGCGCCCCCGTCCAGCCCCAGACCTCGGCCGCGCTGGGCCCTGCCCGTGTCCCCTCTGGGATCCGAGCAGGCCCCGTCTGCCCCAGCCTCAGCTCCTCAGCAGCGTGTTCTCCCCTCAGCCCATGGCTTCTGCCAGGCTCCCTCCGCGGAGCGGTCTCTGCTCTGGGTTCGGCTCCTCGCTGCACTGGGACGTCGGTCCTGGGAAGGCGGGGACTGGACTGTCTTGTTCCCCCTGAATTCCAGGCCCCACTGGTAGGCTCAGAACGTGCCTGTCACGTGGGTGACAATTACACGTCTCTACCAGGCACGTACTATTATCCTTTTTAAAAAGGTGGAGACTGAGTCACAGAGAAGCTATGTGACTTGCCCAGGGTCACACAGCTGATGGGGATGGAGCCAGGTCTGATGGCTGTCTGTCTGGACCCCAGCATGTGACCACCTGGGGACAGGTCTTTAAGAGGTCATCCCATTACAGTGAGGTCATCAGGTGTCCTACCTGCAGCTGGTGTCCTCATGAGGGAAACTTGGGCACAGGGACCGGTGTGCACAGAGGGAGGCTGCCTGGGGACGGGGAGAAGACGTCCCTGCAAGCTGACAGGAGGATGGAGGCGGCTCTCCCTCAGCCTCAGCAGCGCCAGGCGGTGGCGTCTTGCCCCTGGGTCTCCAGCCTGTGGCACTTGGCCGCGGCAGCCGGGGCAGATGAGCGTGTGTGGGGAGCTCTGCTGTTCACCCGCTAAGGACAGGAAACTGAGGCTCCAGTCTGTCTGAGCCCAGTGCTCGGGCATGAGACTGCCACCCCCTGTCCCAGGGCCCGCGAGTGACCCCGAGGTCCCTGCAGGAAAGACTGGCGAGTTTAGACGGGCCTGTGTGCGTGAGCGACCTGGTGCCGTGCCACACAGAGCCACAGCCCGGGCCGGAACGCCCGAGGGGAGCCCTCAGTGGTGTGCAGGGGCCTGAGCCCGGTGTCCCCAGGGCCGCCCTCCCTCGGGACGCTGGGCCGAGCTCCCGCCTCTGCAGCTCTGGAGCTGCTGACTCAGGAGTCCCCCTGTCTCACCCAAGGCCGCCCCGTCTCAGCCTAAACCTGTTTCCCTTAGGAGGACCCCAGTCTTGTTGGATCAGGGCCCACCCTGACGACCTCGTCCACATGGGGGTGGACACCTCTGTGGGGACCTCGTTTCCAAGAGGCTGGAGGGGGACAGGAGTGCATGGGCACATGGCTAGCCCCGGGCAGGGGTGGAGTCAGCCCTCGCCCTCATGTGTGTCCTGACCCCTGTCTTCCAGAGGAGGAGCGGGTGGACATTCTGATCAACAACGCTGCCGTGATGCGGTGCCCGCACTGGACCACTGAGGACGGCTTCGAGATGCAGCTTGGCGTCAACTACCTGGGTGAGCTCGGGGCGGAGCGCTGCGCTGTGGCGGTTTTGCCCGGGTGACAGTGGGAGTTGCCTGTGCTGAGGGTCCTGCTGCGGTGTGGGGCAGCCGGGTGGCCCGCTGGGCGTCCTCGGCAGCTCCAGGACCTGCCTGTTAATGCTCAGGTGCTGGCCTGTCCTTCTCCGCTCCCTGCCCCTGGCCTTGTGCCCTCTGTCCCGAGAACCATGTTTCCATCTGCCTGTCTGTCCTTCATTTCTGTCAACTTTCCATCAATTCTGTGAGTCTGTCCATGTCACTCTTGTTGAAATGCTTCTGTTTTTAGGGGGAGGGGAGGTGGCTGTTGGGGGGCAGCTGGACCCTGCACAGGCCTGCAGCTTAGGAGGAGTGGGGTGGCCCCCACGGTGCCCCAGGCCTGCAGCTTAGGAGGAGTGGGGTGGCCCCCACGGTGCCCCAGGCCTGCAGGTCAGCGATGCAGGCACAGTCGCGATGGGGAGGAAGGGACTCACGAGGTGCTGCTGGCAGCGCCATTGAAATGGACGAGGTGCTGACAAACCGCAGTCACACGTTTCCGCTGTCCTTCCTCAGGTCACTTCCTCTTGACGAATCTGCTGCTGGACAAGCTGAAAGCCTCGGCGCCTGGGCGCGTGGTCAACCTCTCGTCCCTGGCCCACGTCGCCGGGCACGTGGACCTCGAGGACCTGAACTGGCAGAGGAGGAAGTACGACACCAAGGCCGCCTACTGCCAGAGCAAGCTGGCCCTGGTCCTCTTCACCAAGGAGCTGAGCCGGCGGCTGCGAGGTACGCAGCAGCCATGGGCCTCCCCTTGTGGGCCTTGCCTCGTGGGCCTCCCGCTCTGCCCCTGAGCCTGGTGCTGTACCCCTGAGCCGCTCCAGACAGGAGTGGAGCCGGCACCCCCACGTGCACCCCCACTGTGCTCTGTGCCGGTGCCTCCGCAGACTGACCAGTCCCCCGCTGCTCTGAGTGCCCCGCAGTCCCGCTTGGCCTCCGCCCTCAGGCCTTCTTCCCTGCTGATCCTGGACAGGCACTTGAACCTCCGGGACTCTGAGGCAATAGTTCTCAGCTGCAGGGATTTGGGCTGCCCAGGGGACATGTGACAATGTCTGCAGACGTGATTGTCACACCTGGGTGGAGGGCTGCTGCTGGCACCTGTGGGTGACGCTGGGAATGCTGCTCGGCACCCTGCCATGTGCTGGGTGGCTCCCCGCAGCCCCACGCGTCCAAGGAGCTGGCTGGAAAGCCGCCCTGGGCCTCTGCTTCTCGCGGGTGGCGTGGGGGCCGCAGCGCCAGCCTCCCCGGGGCTGGCCACAGTGCTGGCACCCCAGACCCCACCCCACGCCCCTGCTCAGACTCTGGTGGGGCCGGTGGGTCAGTGCTGTGGGTCGTCATGCTCCAGGGGAGCTCTGCCCTGCAGCCATGTGACAAAGCTACCATGTAAGACGGAACCCTTGAGGCTGAGGGCGGAGGTGACGTGGGTCCCGGGCAGGAAGAGCGCAGGACGGGGACCCCAGGCTTGGCCTGGGCTGCGGCAGCCTGCCAGCTGGGGAGCGAGCCGCCAGCCTGCCCCTGCCCGTCCTTCTCTTCTCCAGGCACGGGTGTGACCGTCAACGCGCTGCACCCTGGTGTGGCCAGGACGGAGCTGGGCAGACACACGGGCATGCACAGGTCCACCTTCTCCAGCTTCACACTCGGTGAGTCCCTCCTGGTCCGGGTCTCTGCAGGACCCTCTGGCCCTGCCCTCTCGGCCTGGGCCCAGGACCCTCCCTCAGGCGGTGCCTGGCGTTACTTCCCGACCCCCCGTCTTTGTGGTATGCAGAATGAGTCCCTCCTCTGTTGACCTGGCCTGCCAGCCTCAGAACAGCCCCAGGAAGCAGCCAGGGCCCACTGACCCACGGAAAGCCACGTCTTGAGGGGAAGCGGCCGAGCGGCCTGGAGTCAGGCTGTGCTCAGGGCCAGGCCGGCTTCCCCCAGCCTGGCCGAGCCGTGTGGGGACACGCCTCCCCTTTTGAGCCTCCGTGTCCTCACCTCCTCAGTGAGGACCCCTCAGTCCTTGGGAGGGTTAGATGGTCCCAGGGGGAAAGGCCATGTGCAGCGCCTGGCCCAGAGTGGAGCTGAGCAGAGCTCGGTGCCTGGGGTCTGTGACCCTGGGAACGTCTGAGGCTGGGCTCGGCCTCAGGAGCCGAAGCGGTGACTGCCCCAGATGCGTTCAGTGAGAGGAGGTTCTTCAAGGAAGGGTGGGAGGGTGAGGACGGGGGCTGACGGAGAGAAGTAAGGCTCGTTTTCCTGGGGAAAGGCAGGGAGCTTCCGGGGTGGACAGGAGCACAGGGCAGAGCCTGGAGGTGGGCTGTGGGACCCGAGGGCGGGGCGGGCCACTGGGGTCCAGTGTGTGCCCTGAGTGCTCTGTGGCTGGTGCAGGGCCCATCTTCTGGCTGCTGGTCAAGAGCCCCCAGCTGGCAGCGCAGCCCAGCACCTACCTGGCCGTGGCGGAGGAACTGGAGGGCGTTTCTGGAAAGTACTTTGATGGATTCAAAGAGAAGGCACCAGCTCCCGAGGCTGAGGATGAGGAACTAGCCCAGAGGCTTTGGGCTGAAAGTGCCCGCTTGGTGGGCTTGGACATGTCCCATGGGTCCCCTGTGAGGGGACAGTCCCTGTCCAGGTCACCTCTGGAGCAGGTTTGAAAGCCACTTGGGTCTCCAGGATGGAGCTTCAAGATCCAGGATGCTGCCAGCCTTGCCTCTGTCATTCTCTAGGGGACAGTGTTGGCACCATGTGAGCCTCAAGACCAAGGGCACAGGCTGCCACACCCTCGCCATCCTCCA